ATAAAATAAAAGACCCCAAATAGCCAAAGCAATTCTGAGCAAAAAGAACAAAGCTGAAGGGATCACACTACCTGACTTCAAAATAAACTACAAAGCTATAGTAACTAAAACAGCATGGTACATGAAAACAGACCCACAGACCAATGGAACAGAACAGAGAATCCAGAAATCCACATGTATTTATAGCCAACTGATTTTTGACAAAGGCACCAAGAGCACACACTGGGGAAAGGACAATCTCTTCAATGAATGTGGTAGGAAAACTGGATATCCAAATGCCGAAGAATGAAACTGGACCCCTATCTCTCACTGTATATAAAAATCAACTCAAAAAGGATTAAAGACTTAAATGTAAGATCTGCTTCTATGAAAGTACGAGAAGAAAATATAGGGGAAATGCTTCAGAACATTAGTCTGGACAAAGATTTTTAGGATAAGATCTCAAAAGCACAGGCAATAAAAGTAAAAATAGACAAATTGGATTATATCAAACTAAAAAGCTTCTGCACAGCAAAGAAACAATCAAAAGAGTGAAGAGACAACAAACAGAATGGGAGAAAATGTTTGTAAACTACCCATCCAACAAGGGATTAATATCGAGAACATATAAGGAACTCAAACAATGCAACAGCAAAAAACCAAATAATCTGATTAAAAAAATGGGCAAATAATCTGAGTAGACAATTCTCAAAAGAAGACATACAAATGGTCATCAGGTTTATGAAAAAAATGATTAGCATCACTTATTGGGGAAATGCAAATCAAAATAACAATGAGATATCTCATCCCTGTTAAAATGGTTATCAAAAAGACAAAAAATAACAAATGTTAGCAAGAATGTGGAGAATGGGGAACTGTTATACACTATTGGCAGGAATGTAAATTAGTACAGCTATTATGGAAAACAGTATGGAGTTTCATCAAAAAACTAAAAATAGAAGTTCCATATGATCCAACAATTCAACTCCTGGTTATATATCCAAAGGAAGGGAAATCAGTATGTTGAAGAGATCTGCACTCGCATGTTTATTGCAGCTGTATTCACAATTACTAAGACATGAAATCAACCTAAGTGTCCATCAACGGATGAACAGGTAAAGGAAATATGGTATATATACACAATAGAATATTATTCACCCGTAAAAAAGAATGAAATCCTGTTATTTACTGCAACACAAATGAGCTTGGAGGACATTATGTTAAGTAAAGTAAGCCAGGCACAGCATGTTCTCACTCATATGTGGGAGCTAAAAATGTTGATCTCATACAAGTAGACAGTAGAATGAGGTTACTAGAGACTGGGCAGGGTAGAGGAGAGGGGTTCTAGGGAGAAGGTTGGTTAATGGGTACAAAATTAGTTAGATAGGTGTGTCCTATAGTACAGTAGGTTGACTATAGTTAAAAATAATTTATTCTATATTTCAAAATAGCTAGAAGAGAGGATTTTAAATGTTCCCAACACAAAACAATGATAAATATTTGAGGTGATGAATATGCCAATTACCCTGTCTGATCAGTACACACTGTATACATTTACTGAAATATCACATGTACCCCATAAATATGTACAATTACTATGTGTCAATTAAAAATAAAATTAGATAAATAAATAAAAGGAAAGTAACTAAACATGCAATAAAAATTATTTGGGAGAAGAAAAATTGGATCATCTCCTATCTTGTTGATTCACTTACACAACCTACAAAGTACTTGTTATAAGATTATATTTTTGATGCTAGACTGAATCACTGCAGATATTAAGTAAGAATTTCTGAGAAAGATATCCTTTGAAATGAGATTAAGAAGATAAATATGTCCTGCAAAAAAATCTAATAGCAGAATGCTAAGATGTACAATATGTGTAAGTTATAAGGTTATAAAGAATAATGATACAATGAACACTCATATACCTAGTTTAAGAAACAGAATAACTATCACCTTTGAAGATTCACGTTTAATGCCTTTCTTTTCTGACCCCCAGAGGTAATTTTCTTAAATATTTTGTTTCTTACTACTTTGTTTTCTTTATAGTTTTACCACATATGTCTGTATCACTAAATGCAGTATCCATAAATAATATATAATATGTTTTTTGAATTTTATATAAGTGGAACCATATCATAATTGTCT